GCCAACAGCATGTCCTCCAGGAACCTGTGATTCACAACGTGTCGTGAAAAGACTTGGGTTTAGTGTGTGTGTGAGAGAGAGTGTGTGTCCAGAACAATGTCAGCCAAGAATCTAACGACTAGAGAGCACTATTATTCCTGGGCCTTGGGTGCATGCCATTTTTTGGTCATTAAGTGAGAGGGAAGAGGGAGCGAGCGAACCAGATCAAGTGAAAAAGATTAAGAGGAAGACAGGAAAACAGAATATGATGGAGGAGGGGAGGAGTGAAATAAGTTAAGGCAGACTGGGCTTTTGGCATTTCAGACATGATTCTGGCTCTGAATCTCAGGGAACTGGTTTGGGGAATAATGCAATGACAAATTTCATTTAAACTCCATGTGGTCTTCTCTCTCAGCTCTGCACATCAAGTCTACTGGGCCACAGGGAGCTGTGTCATTCCAGAAAATACAATAAATAGATTTGAAAAATATATTTAGGCTATATCTTTAATGGCAGGCAGTTGGGTAATGAGACTCAAAGTAAGGTCAAAGGACAAAGCACATCAATCAGCAGTCAGTTTCATTTTCCAGCCGTGTAAATCAATAACCTTCATCAATGAGAACAGCAACGCCAAACTAAATTAAACAGACAATCAAATAAGGAGTATTAGTGTTTTTTTTTTTTACATGTTGGTTAATATTGAACACATATAGGCCAATATAGAATATTTAACTGTGCATGCTGAACTAAAAGTATTAAACAGTTATAACCACAAAAATTCAGTAGATACTTGAAATAAAATTAACAATATAACTGGGCTACAATAAAATAAAAAATAAATTAAAAAAATGTTTTATCAACATTTCTCATTTTAATTTAGTTTGCTTGATGTACTAAAATTTTAGTTTAAAAGAAAATATAAAAACTACACAGACATTAAAAGTACTAAAACAAAATGACAAAATCATAAAAAGACATACAAAAAAATTTAAATTAAAATGGAAAATATAAAATTTAAATAATTTAAAATATTAAAAAATATATATCCAAAAAGAAAAAACAACACTGATTATGATTTATAAGAGTATTTAAAGCATTTTTTAAATATTTTTTAATATTTTATACAAAATATAATTTTAATATTGACTATAACATCAAAATTCAATTCATTTTAATTTAACATAATTTTATTTTTAATTTATCAGCATCGCAGGTTTCCTGCACTGAGAGGACAATGCCATAATGCACTGAGGCAGATGTTGCAAAATAACTGTAATAATATTATGTTACAGTATAATTTTTATAAATATATTTCATTAAATACTAAAGAGAATTATTTAAAAAATTCAATCAAATTCTCTATTTTACCAAATGTGTTTGCATTGTATGTTTTTTTTGTTAGTTTTTTTTTGGCAACATGCACCAAACTCAATGAACAAATGATGGTCCATTTCTGTGTGTATAAAGCAGCTTATGCCTATGTACAGTAGACAGCAAGGCAGGCCTAGTGAATCTGGCTCAATCCCCTCGTGACCTTGCAGTAATTAAGCTGGTGAATGTGGCCCTGGTTCTTAATAAGAGAGGAAGTAGACCTACCAGTCAGAAGTACAAGTCATCCACTGAGACATGGACACGATTAGCAGTTAATGCGGCTCCACGGTCCAATCACATCTCATTATCCCTCTCAGTCACAGTGAGGCAGTCCAGACCCCACACAAACAGCTCGCCACGAGTTTGTGGGAAATCACAAGGATGCTACATTCCATGGATACAGAGGGCGGATAAAAAACATAAGGGAAAAGCGGGACTCCAGGGGTTAAACGCAGGATAGAGATAAGGTTGCAGGAAGTGATACAGTCGGCTCCCTATGAAGTACAGTCCTCATAAATCCCCTCCTCTCCCTGCTCCACGAGCTCTTTCTGTCTCTCTATCTCCCCGCACCTCTGAACACAGTCAGCTGAACACAAGAAGTCTCATTGTTGCGCCTCAGCTGCCTGAGAGCCCTGCAGTCCTAAACGTCTCTTAACTGTTTCTGTTTGTGGCCTATTTAAAAACAGCTGTTGCATTCACAGATCACATGCAGCACAGAAGAGCAGGCCAACACCTCTACACTCTCCATGCAGCAGCTAGTTAAACATGCCTGATAGTTCTCCTGGTATATCCAGAAATGACTCTGTTTGAATTGCCAGGATAAAGCTATCTGAAAAGGAAGGCTATCAGTGAGGGAAAAGACAACAGCCGAAAGCAACTCTGTTGCCAGTCCCTCATTCAGGAAGTAGATATTCATAAGACACCACTTTGAAATCATATCTTTGTTTGAGAAAGCAAATGCTTTTCTATGAAGTATTGTATTGTAAAGGACTGTACGACAAAAGGCTCTCAGAGTAACACCCACACAGAAACTCACAACACTCCCTATCTTCACTCAAGCATCTACATTGTTTGTGCTATGGGTGAACTGACACAAGCTTTGAGTTTGCACTTTTTGTTATTCCAAAGGGATCATCCAAAACATATAATTCTACGTTCAGGCTTTTTACTGCTCACTCACTGGGTCTCATTCACTTACACAACATTAGAACATGAAGAAGTAGAAGAAGAAGAAGAATGAGGAGGAGGAGGAGGAGAAGAAAGAGGACAAAAAAAGACTGATGCTCTGGCTGCTGAAAATTCAGCTTAGCCATCACAGGAATAAATTAGATTTTAAAACACATTAAAATAAAACCAGTTTGAACTGGTTTTGAGGGTGATACACATGGCATTGCTTGAGGATCTTGCTGCACAAGCTCTCTCAGGCAGGAGTGTCATATGTTTGCTCACAGTGATGAACGGCTGTTAAAGAAAGGTTGTGTGGAAAACCCTTATAGAGAAAGCTTGGGCGTGTTTTATGCAAACGACGAACCTCAGGCACGTGGTCGCTCATTTAGAAAACTCCAAATTCAAGAATGTTAGAATAAGGATAAGAACAAGTTCATCTCCTGAGTTCTCTTGTGCTTCTAAAGACTAATAGTCCATGAATTTTGAATGAGACCCAGTTTTTATAATATTCATGTTCTTAATCGTGAATCTCAAATTGTGGGCAAAACATCCTAAATTCTTAATGAATTAATGGAAGTAGTTCCAGAACAATGTTTTTATTTTTAAAAATGGACTTTAAGCACTTCATGATCACAACCTTTGAAGCTGATATACTGTAGAAAAGGGAATGCATGCATACTTTACTTTTCTATAACTGCATTTGAGACTTTGTCCCCACAGTTGTCTCACCACACACCCAAATCAGTGGGTCGTACAGCTTTAACACATAATCCCCCAAAAATCCATCTACCACTGTGGCATGTGCAGGCACATCTGCTGTCATTCAACATTTGTGACTGGTAGAATTACTGAGATAAGCTGCTTCTTTCTAAAAGGGTTTGGGTCAGCTGTAGGTTTAAAGAAGTGTATATTACTACAAGCCCAGCCCAGAGATCAGGACAGTGATGCAGGAGCCCAGATCTTTCAAGAGGTACACTGTTAGATGAATAAACTGAATTCAATTGTTCAAAGAGTACCAGTATACCTTCAGAAAAAAAATTTTTTTTTCAAAAGGTACACCTTTGTACTTAAAGGGTGCTTATTGATAACTTAAAGGTGCATATTTGTACCTAAAAAGTACAAAAGTGTGCCTTAAAAAAGTGTCAGCTTTTGTACCGTTTTTTCTAATAGTGTTCTTTTTTTCTAAAAGTTGGCTTTAGTATCCAAAAGTTGCTGGGCGATAGTATAGCCGATGTGATAGCCAGGTGTGTGGGAACTGCAGGTTACAACTGCCCAATGTGAGGTCAATGTTACTTCCAGCCCAGAGGAGCTCATCTAGTTTTATTGTTAACGTTATTCCCGATCAATCAGGTTAATCTGGGTCAGGACTGATGTAAATGTTTGAGAAGGCAAAAGATACCTCAGATACCTGAAAGGAATGAGTTGAGGCTCCCTGCCAGATTTGTGAATCTGATGAGTAAAGTAATCAATTCAGAGAGACAGTTTAGATCTTTGGCTTCTGTCAGTCTCTTCGCACAGTGCCAGACCACCAATGACAGGGTTTGGACCACTGCAGCACTGCATACATGGAGTGGCACACCACTAACAAACCTCAAACCACACAGACTACAAACTCTTCATACCTCCTACCACTTCAAACTAAAACCATCCCAAAGCTTGGCTACAAGAATTTAAGAGGTAAGAATGTTGGTGATTCAGAAAGTTTAGTGAAAAGCTAAATAACTTTCTAATTTGCTCTCGGATATTACAGCCATTCACATGCTGAGTTACAAGCATTCAGCTGAAATCAGCGGTCATATTAAAACCAGACCTGAGACTCTGAGACAGTGCATTAAACCTAAATGAGAAACACACCAAATATATAGCTATATATATATATATATATATAGCGCTGTCAAACGATTAATCGCGATTATTTTGTTTACATAATGTATGTGTGTGTACTGTGTATATTTCTTATATGTATATATATAAATACATACACATACAGTATTTTGAAAATATTTACATGTATTTATTTATATATATTATATTCATATAATTTATATTATACATAAATGTATTTAATATATAAACATAACAGCATTCTTAAATATATACATTCATGTGTGTATTTAAATGTACATAATAAAAATACACAGTACAAACGTATATTATGTAAAGAAAAACTTATATTCATAATAATTTATATAATATATAAATATATTTAATATATAAACATAACACATTTTTCTTAAATATAATATACATGCATAGGTGTGTATTTATATATACATAATACATATACACATTGTACACGCATATACTATGTAAACAAAAACTTTTATTTTGGACGCGATTAATCGTGATTATTCGTTTGAAACCTATATATATAGTGGTGACCAAAACACGTTTTCAAACTTTAAACAGTATTGAATTCTACAATATGATTTTTGATACAAAAATGTGCAGTACATTGATCATTTGTAAAAAAGTATAATTACCTCTCCATTAAAGGTTTCATCTCCAAAGGTGCGCGCTCCACTCATCAAGAGCACCAGAAGAGAATAAATTACGGTCCGTCTCCACAGCAACGTGAACGGGTCATCCCATAATACTGCCATCGTTCTCATCTGGATCAGTGATAGCAGCTAAAACTCTTCAGAAGTGTAACCAAAAGAGGTTAAAATCAAACAGTCTGCAACTAAAAACGCAAAAAGTCCAATGCACTCAGATTAAAAACAACATCATTCTGACAGGGTCTCCTGTAGTTGTGTGTCCTTTCTGCAGAAGCGCGCGGTTCTTCAGCGCTACAGTCATTCAGTGAGATTTAACGCCAGTCCCAGGCGCTGTACCGGGAGTCAAAGAGGTCCGATGCTCTGGCTGAAGTTTCTGAGTGTGTTAGGTATCATATCCAGCGGGTGTGCCCACTTAATGGTCGTTTCAGCCCACTCACGTGGTGCCTATAAATTAATTACAGCTACAACCTACTTCAAAGCAGGCGCTGTGCAAACTTACGCTGCAATTTCCTCTTGTAGTATGACTCGGTAAACGAAGCGTGAATAACGGCTAGTGTTATTGCAACAGAGATTTGCGTTTCTTGGGACAGAAACTCGGTCTTCGCGCAGTAACCACAATACAAGAGCGCACAAATTATTATCAGATGACTGCGACACGCTCCGACACCTGTCTTGGATCACCGCCCTGCTTGTAACGATTTAATACGATAGTTTTTCTCGATAAAATCCACGTTTTCTCTCGGTTTTCTTGGGCGGGTTCCAGGTTCCAGGGGCTTGTTGTGACGCTCCTCGTGTGTGCAGCCAGTGACTCGGACTTTGTGCTGAGTCCTGCGGCGTGTCCCGCTGAAGCTGGAGGAGGGGCCCAACAAGACGGACACCAGCAAGTGTCCAGTGCCACCTCCAGTCTGGACATTTATCCTGACACAAAGACACGTGCTATTTCTTCTTTGCAGTAGGCTTTTGAGCTCTGTAATTAAAAAAAAAAGTACCCATATGCACTTATTTGTCACTTTAGGAAATAGATTTCTATAAAACTATCGGCCAGACATTCAGAAAGAGCCTATATGTTCTGGTTAAGATAAGACAAGTAAAAACTATTAATTAAAGATTAGCCTATTTATTTACACAATGCAACAACAAAAAAATTACCAGAATGCCAGGTAGCTTAAAAATAAAGGTGCTTCAAAAGGTTCTTCAAGCGATGCCATAGAAGAACCATTTTTGGTTCCTCAAAGAACCATTCAGTTAAAGAATATATATATATATATATATATAGCGCTGTCAAACGATTAATCGCGATTATTTTGTTTACATAATGTATGTGTGTGTACTGTGTATATTTCTTATATGTATATATATAAATACATACACATACAGTATTTTGAAAATATTTACATGTATTTACATGTATATATTATATTCATATAATTTATATTATACATAAATGTATTTAATATATAAACATAACAGCATTCTTAAATATATACATTCATGTGTGTATTTAAATGTACATAATAAAAATACACAGTACAAACGTATATTATGTAAAGAAAAACTTATATTCATAATAATTTATATAATATATAAATATATTTAATATATAAACATAACACATTTTTCTTAAATATAATATACATGCATAGGTGTGTATTTATATATACATAATACATATACACATTGTACACGCATATACTATGTAAACAAAAACTTTTATTTTGGACGCGATTAATCGTGATTATTCGTTTGAAACCTATATATATAGTGGTGACCAAAACACGTTTTCAAACTTTAAACAGTATTGAATTCTACAATATGATTTTTGATACAAAAATGTGCAGTACATTGATCATTTGTAAAAAAGTATAATTACCTCTCCATTAAAGGTTTCATCTCCAAAGGTGCGCGCTCCACTCATCAAGAGCACCAGAAGAGAATAAATTACGGTCCGTCTCCACAGCAACGTGAACGGGTCATCCCATAATACTGCCATCGTTCTCATCTGGATCAGTGATAGCAGCTAAAACTCTTCAGAAGTGTAACCAAAAGAGGTTAAAATCAAACAGTCTGCAACTAAAAACGCAAAAAGTCCAATGCACTCAGATTAAAAACAACATCATTCTGACAGGGTCTCCTGTAGTTGTGTGTCCTTTCTGCAGAAGCGCGCGGTTCTTCAGCGCTACAGTCATTCAGTGAGATTTAACGCCAGTCCCAGGCGCTGTACCGGGAGTCAAAGAGGTCCGATGCTCTGGCTGAAGTTTCTGAGTGTGTTAGGTATCATATCCAGCGGGTGTGCCCACTTAATGGTCGTTTCATCCCACTCACGTGGTGCCTATAAATTAATTACAGCTACAACCTACTTCAAAGCAGGCGCTGTGCAAACTTACGCTGCAATTTCCTCTTGTAGTATGACTCGGTAAACGAAGCGTGAATAACGGCTAGTGTTATTGCAACAGAGATTTGCGTTTCTTGGGACAGAAACTCGGTCTTCGCGCAGTAACCACAATACAAGAGCGCACAAATTATTATCAGATGACTGCGACACGCTCCGACACCTGTCTTGGATCACCGCCCTGCTTGTAACGATTTAATACGATAGTTTTTCTCGATAAAATCCACGTTTTCTCTCGGTTTTCTTGGGCGGGTTCCAGGTTCCAGGGGCTTGTTGTGACGCTCCTCGTGTGTGCAGCCAGTGACTCGGACTTTGTGCTGAGTCCTGCGGCGTGTCCCGCTGAAGCTGGAGGAGGGGCCCAACAAGACGGACACCAGCAAGTGTCCAGTGCCACCTCCAGTCTGGACATTTATCCTGACACAAAGACACGTGCTATTTCTTCTTTGCAGTACTTTTGAGCTCTGTAATTTAAAAAAAAAAGTACCCATATGCTCTTATTTGTCACTTTAGGAAATAGATTTCTATAAAACTATCGGCCAGACATTCAGAAAGAGCCTATATGTTCTGGTTAAGATAAGACAAGTAAAAACTATTAATTACAGATTAGCCTATTTATTTACACAATGCAACAACAAACAAATTACCAGAATGCCAGGTAGCTTAAAAATAAAGGTGCTTCAAAAGGTTCTTCAAGCGATGCCATAGAAGAACCATTTTTGGTTCCTCAAAGAACCATTCAGTTAAAGAACCATCTCTTTCTTACCTGTTTATAATCTGAAGAACCTTCTTTCGCCACAAAGAACCTTTTGTCAAACAGAAAGGTTCTTCAGATGTTAAAGGTTCTTTAAGGAACCATTTAGACAAAAAGGTTCTTCTATGGCATCGTGAAGCACCTTTATTTTTAAGAGTGTACCAAGTTCTTTTTGAGGATCTGGACAAACAGCAAACAAAGAATGCTTGCAGAGACACTTAAAACGATGTTTCTTTATGCATCTAAAGACTTATAAAAGCATCTTACTACAGCATCAATATTTGATAATTGTTTGTACAATTGTAACAAGTACCTCAAGTTGAAAGATGTCATTCGAATATTTAAAAATGTTGTTACTTTTAGTTGAAAATATTGTATTTTTTTTATTTTTAATGTTTTAATTTTATTTTTTATATAAGCTTGTTGCACTGTAACCAAAGCAAATTGTTTTATGCACCAAAAAGGAGCTTTGTCTGTATTATATTGTATTCTGAATAAAAAAATTGCTCTTGTGAACAATTAAATTTATATATCGCAGTGTCCTGCCAAGGTACACTACCCTGTGATGTGACAAAAAAAAGACCTCAAGTGATTTCTCACTGCAATGGTGCTAGATTTCCGGTCTAGCCAGTGTGTGCATAGATACTTCCGGTTAAACACCAGTGCAGAGAGCAGGAGAAATCCAAAGATTACCTTCGGTTTAAGTTTAGGATTTATAATATCACGTAAAATGCAACTAAGGTCTACATTACTATTATTACTATACAGTTTATGTTAATTGAGCCAGTGGCATTTGAAACTTACGTGTGTTTGGGTGAATCAAATGCAGTAATCTGTTCAGGAAATGAAAGTTGACTCGAGCTCATGGTGCATTCACATACATACACAATCTTTTTCCCTTATCAATTATGTAATGTACAAATACCTCAGTAGGCCCTACCCCGCCTTTTTTCTCCTTCTCCCAAAACAGCTTA